TCTTTGGAGCAGGCTTGCTAATTTCACATGTCACTGAATTTCTTTTTTAAAAAAAAATTTATATTGTGATTTTAACAAAAGTTTACAGAAAAGTTGGATTTTCTCATTCATTCCTTCATTCATCGTTGCACATTCTCCTCCCTACCACCCCAGTTCACTTTCCTCTTTAAAAAGATTCTTTCTTTGTTGTCCCAGTCCATTGTGCTATGTACTTCTTATTCTGGACTGTTGTCATACAACTAATTCGTAATCATATATTCCTTTTAAACAGTTCTTTCCTTCATCTGTCCCAATGCAATGTTCATTATCTATTGCCTCTTTTCTTAGTTCCTCCCCAAACCCCATGTCAGTCCTGTTTCATAACACTGGAGTTATTCAATATTTGACATTTTATGACTGAGATCTTTGATTCAGCATAATGTCCTCTAAGGTCACCATGTTGTATAATATTTTATGAGTTCCTTGTTTTTCAGTGCTATGTAGTATTCCATTGTGTGAATATACCCTAGTTTTTCGATCCATTCTTTTTATGACTGGCACTTGGGTTGTTTCCAATCTCTTTGGTAGTATGAATGCAGCAGCAATAAGCATATGTGTGCAAATAGCCATTTCTTGACAGCTATTGCCATGGAATTTCAGAGTTTCTTCTGATATCCATATTGGTTTTTTCTTTCTCCTCTGTTTCTGTAAAGGCCTTTTGCTCTCTTCCTGAATATCCTGATGTCATCAGATTGCACAGCTTATCTGATCTTCAATCAATGGTTTCCATTACCTAACCTTAAAATTTTGGAAGGAGGATTGGCATCGACTTCCATAATAGCTTGCCTCCGGAAACCCTATGAACCTGGAGAGAGGAAGAAAGGCACTCAAGCGTCAAGGACTCTCCTTCATAGCGTCTCTATGAGTCGCCTGCGACTCAATAGCACTTAACAACAACCTGAAAATTACTTTTAAACTTGGGTAGGATAGACTCAAATACGTTGTGTTGGATTTTTTTCACTTGTTTTAATTTTCCTCAGTTTCAATTTGAACATGCACATGAGTAATTTGACGGTCTATTCCACAGTCACTACCGGGCGTGGTTTTGACCTGATACTGAGCTTCTCCAAGGAATCTTCACATATATGTAGGCAATCTGATTCCTGTTTTAGTATATAAGGTGAGATCCATGTACAAAGACATCTTTCGTGTTTTTTCAAAGGTATTTCCAATGAATAAATTATAGAATGTATAAAATTTGATCATTCAATTTCTGACCTCATTTCTGTCAGCATGTCTGCACTTTTTTCCCTTGTATCTAATTTTGCATTCTAGCCTAATTTATCAGTAATGAGTTTTGACTAAACATTTTGAAAATATCAGATTGCAAAATTTGGTAAAAACCAATTTCCTTTTAGCTTTTGCTGTTGGTATGTATATATACCTGATTGATAGTTGTATTAACATAATCCAAAATAGATGTCGGAAGAGACTCAGAAAATTGCACAAAGCATTGAGAAGCCAAAACAAAGGGAAGGGATGTTGAAGTAAAGTAACTGAACAAAAAACTTCAAAGGGCACCTAGAGAAGACAAAGTATTATAACAAAATTTGCAGAGAGCTATAATTGGAGAATAAAAAAGGAAGAACTCACTGGGCCAAAAAAAAAATGAAAAACATATTCAAGCGTCAAGATGCAATACTGAGACAATATTAAATCCTGAATGATCCAGGAAGCATCAAAACAAGATAGAGGGAATAGACAGAGGTACTCTACCCCCCTCCCCCCCCAAAAAAAATTCATCTACAGAGAAATGTTTTAGGAAGTAGCATATAATCAACAGTCAATAAAGGAAGATGCTCAAGCTTCACTAAAGGTACTGGCAAAAAAAAGAGGCCATAGGAATCGGTGGGATAGCAAATTATATGTTTCAGCTAACAGATGTAGCCCTGGATGTCTTCACCAGTCTACGCAACCAAATCTGGAGGACAGTTGCCTGGCCAATTGACTGATATATATCCGTATTAGTTCCCATTCTCAAGAAAGGTGATCCAAACAGAATGTGGAAATTGTCAAACAATATCACTAATATCAAATGCAAACAAAATATGGCCAAAGATCCTCTAAATATGTCTGGAACTGTACACTAACAGTGAACTATAAGATGTTTATGATCAGTTTGGAAAGGCCATAGCCTTCCTGCTTCACCTGCACATTTCATGATATGTGGAGAGTCTCTGCTTCGCTCCTAGAAACCGAGGATCCTGGAACCTTACCACCACAATGGAAGAGGACCATAAGATGAAGAAGAAAGCAATCCAAGAACTGCTCAAGGAGGCAAAAACTGGGAAAACGAAGGCAGAAACGATGGGACCAACAGGTAGGATGATGTGTCCCCTAGCTGGTACCAATAAAAGATATCTCCTCAATACAATTAAAAACATACTGCCCTCCCAGAAGGAGCAAGACCTAGAGCAGAAAGAGGAGCATGAAGAGCCAACCCAGAGTCCAATGTGGAAGGAAGGGCAACCCCGGAAGCACAGGGCTCATCTGTACACGTGCAGTGTGCGTCACAGCAGAGTTGGGTATGCGCCACCCAGGAAGTGGAGTGCTCATGAAAGTCCCAGAGGTGTTTGAACAAGCGATGAGCCTCCTGCCAACGACCTGAAAGGTGGTCATGGGCAGGAGATGCTGTGACACTTGGGACTGGGGTGGGGAGGGTGGCTTTCTTTAAGCAGGGGAGGCAAATGAGGATAGGTCTTTAGCTGGAAGAGTAGATTCGTTGTTTCAGGCGGTAAAGAGACTCGTGATGACAAGCCAGAGCTGACCTAGTGGTTCTTTCAGGAACCTGACACAGGGGTCTTGCTTTGACGATACACTGGAAATACGCCACTTCCACAATGTGGTATACTACCTGTTTTCATTTCATCTTTTTTGTAAGTTAGGCTCAAAAGAAGCAAATCTAGGATTTTCAGTTATCAGAGATTTTTTAAAAGCCATTTTAAGTTTTATTTTCTTCTGGGCATGTTACAACTGTGCTCATTTCTCAACATGGCGTGGAAAATAAAATACTTGTCAGTCTGAAAAAAAGAAAAGGTCGTAATACTAGGGAAATCACTGCAGATGTTGGATGCATTCTGGTTGAAAGCAGAGAACGGTTATCGTTCTTAGGTGCTGTCAACTCACCTATAACTCATAGCAACCCTATCCACAAGAGGATGAGATGGATTGAAACAATAAGTGAGGTTATGAGGGTAGGTGTATCAGAGACAGTGAAATTGGCTCAGGATAAAGTAGGATTCAGAGATATTGTGCAAAGGGTCTTATATAAGGCATAGCTGAATCAATGACACATAACAACACTGTCTCAAAATTCTAAAATCCATCCAAATCCGTCCTGGGGCAAAATTATTCATCATTAGTGAATCTAGAATACAAGTTATCTGCTTAGAAAGTACAAGGATGGTATCGGTATAAGACAGACATTCCAAAGAAGTAACAGTCATGCCCTCTAGACTCTGGATGCATGCCATGTTATCTACATTCTGGGTACAGGTCCCTTGCGTGCAGCCTGACCTTTTAGATTCACAGGGATGCCCCCACGTCCATTTGGCTCTAGTATGCCCTATTATTGTTCTGCGTCAGCTTTGGGCTCTGGCCACATCTTAATGGCAGCAGAACTCTCTAGAATTGACTTGTGGAGATCCTACTCACTTAAATGAACTCTTTGACATGAGAGAGTTCATGCTGCTACCATTTAAAACCACAGCAGCTTTGCTTCTTTGGCTCTTAACAATCATCCTACTGATCATTATGTAATTAAAGAACGGCCCTTTCCTTCCTTGGAGAAGAATAAATGTAGTTCCTTTGCTCTGTTTCCTGCTTGAAGAATTTGAAGACATAGACATTTTTTCAATTGGTCTTTGTCCTTAGTTGATACAACAGAATTTTCCAAGGAAAGTTCTGATTTCATTTTGCAAGTTCATTTTTAAGTCCATTAAGTGCATTTAAGACATACCCAAAGTGCATGGCTTTAATTGTCTACGACTCTACAGCACTTAACACCACCACCAGTCTAGAGAAAGCTCTGTGGGCCTGGTGGATAGAAAGTTAAGCTAACAAGTCAAAGGTGAGTGATTTTAATCTGCGGCCCCAAGGCCTGGTTTTAATTGTTTTTGGTCAAATATTCTTCTAAGTGGTATAGCACTGGTCTGTCTATTTGCTGTACAGAACTTGTGGTTCCTGTGATGCTATACACTCTGACACTGGTGTGTCAAATGTGATAATGGTTACCCATGGTGGACAATGTTTAGTGGAGCTGTGCGATTAAAACAAGCTTGGACGCAGGAGTCGCAATGACTACAGAAATAGCTTGCCTCTGGAAACTCTATAAACTTGGAGAAATGATGAAAGTTATACAAGTGTTCAGGTCCTTCGTTCATAGGGTCGCTATGAGTCGTCTACGACTTGATGGCACTTAACAACAACAAAAACAAGGTTAGAAGGGTAGAGGTCCAAATCACGGACATCAATCCAAGGGAAGACTTTCTCTCTCTAGAAGGTACGTATCTCTTTTCTACACCCATAGGCCCAGCATTCCATGGAGACATATATGTGCCTTGTTATCAATCTTCCCCTAGGTCTAGGAGGTCCTCCACTGAGGGTCTTTTCTTCCTTGGTGGTAGCAAGTTATACTAGGTCATGTTTGATAGTTTAATTTCTTTTATATACCAAAAAGACTGACAATTTATTTGTGCAGATTGTTTTCTGTCCCATTTAATATAACCACCTCACTAATATCATATAAGTTCGGATTTATAACACATAGGACACTTACATCAAATTACAATATGGAAGAAAATTACAAAATACTGAGAATCATGGCATAGCCAAAATGACATATTTTGAGGGCACACTATTTAATCCATAACAAAGGCCAACTGCAAAGCATTAGGTTTACACTTTATCATTACACTTACTAGAATACATCACTGACAAAAGTTTGACTGAAGTCTGTTTACCTGAAAGCTTGAGACCTCGTTCTCCTACTTGAGTGTCATATCCATGTGGCATTCGAAGAATTGCATCATGGAGTCCAGCTAATTTTGCCACTGAATACACTTCCTTACGTGAAGCTGTGATATTCCCATATAAGAGGTTGTAATAAATTGTATTATGGAAGAGGACAGCATCCTGTGGCAGATTTATACAAATACATGAATGTTCATTATAAAGACATTTAAATACAGAGGCACAAAAAACAAACTATTACAGTTCCCATTTGTTATTCTCATCTCTAATGATAAAAAGATACAAGAATTCAGATAAAAAAATTTATTAATATAAGCAGGGCTGTACTATATATATTATTTTGCAAGTTATCTATCTCATTTAACATGTCTTAAAGATTTTATGTGTCAAAACAAATACTTTGCTCTTTAAGTTCCTTATTCCACATGACGGATGTATTATCATTTATTTATCCATTGTATTTACTGATGGACATTCAAGTAATTTCTAATTTACTGCTTTTAAAAAGATTATAATCATATATGAACTGTATATATGACCTTAAACACTTGGGATTACTTCTGCAAAATTCCTAGATATAAGTGGAGCTCTAGTGGCCTAGTGGCAAGATGCTGCACTGCAATCCCAGAGATATGTGGTTTGAATCCACCAGATGCTCTCCTGGAGAAGGAGGGGCCATCTCCTCCTCTACCAGAGAGATCCAATTTGACGTTACACACACAGAGAAAATAAAAAAATTTTAAAAAATAAAAAAAAATCCTAGATATAGATCAATGGGATAAAAGTATATAAAAAAAAAAACCAAACAAAAAAGGGTAAGCATTTAAGTTTTACTTGATAGTATTGACAAAGCGTTTTCCAAATGCTTAGGAAGAGAATATCCTCTAACAAATACTGCATGAGGGTACCAGTTCTATAGAATGGTAAGAATCTAGTCCAGTACACACTTTAATCTAGTACACAATTTATGTCAATGCTTCTCAGCATGTATGAAAAATCTGTATATTAAAACACTTGAGATTCTGTGTCTCAAATACTTTAGAATTGGGCTTTATGAATGAATTAGGGAATTATTTTAAAAAAATCTCCCTAAGTAATTCATATACATCAATAAGTTTCTAAGCATAAAAGAGCAAAGTAGCACTTCATAGGCTACATGTCATTTTCGTTGTTAGGTGCCATCAAGGTGACTATGACTCACAGTGATCCTTATGAACAAAACACCTGAACCTTCCTCTATCCTGTGCCATCCTCCTCTCTCCAATATGTTCAAGTTCACTGTGGTCGTCACTGTGTCAATCCCCCTCATTGAAGGACTTCCTCTATTCATTTCACTAATCCTATAGCTTTCACGGCATATCTCTCTCGAAGAACTGCTTCTTCCTGAAAATATGCCCAAAATAAATGAGAGGAAGTTTCACTCTCTGCCGCTAAGGAGAACTCTGGTAACATTTATATTAAAACAGATTTCTTTGCTGTTTTGGCAGTCCATGGTATGTTCATTACTCTGTGCCAACACCACAATTCAAAGACATTGATTCTTCTGTCATGCTTACTCACTGTCAAACTTTCAAATGCATATGAAGGAAATGAAAAGATCATGGTTCAGATCAGGCAAACATTAGTCTTTTTTTTTAATTAATTTTAATGACTTTTAAAGAGATTTTGGATTTCCATTCATTCACTGCTGCATTTTTCTCCCTGCCCACCCCTGCCCTCCAGTTTGTTTTTCTCTTTGAAAAGGAAAAGAAAAATTCCCTCATTGGTATGCAGTCAACACCCCACCGCCGAGTACATTCCACTATGCAACCTTCATTCTGGACTCTTGTCATAACCATAATACCCAATCAAACATCGCTTTTGTCTTTTAAAAGACATACTTCCTTTTTAGAACATTGCAGAAGGGCTCAACAGCAGATTTCCCCAATATAACATGCCTTTTGATTTCTGGACTATTGCTACCATGGGTGATCGTGGATCCAAGTAAAATGAGTGAGTCGATGCCTTTGAGCTGTGGAGCTGGAGAAGAGTATTGAGAACACCATGGACTGCTAGGAAAACAAACAGATTTGTCCTGGAAAGGGTTAAACCGGGTGGCTCCTTGGAGGCAAGGATTCTGAGACTCTGTCTAACATACTTTGGACATGTTGTGAGGAGAGACCAGTCCTTGGAGAAGGACATCATGCTTGGGAGGGTGGAGGGACAGCACAGGAGGGGAAGGCCCTCTGAGGTGGATTGATTCAGTGACTGGGATAATCGGGATAGGAGTGTCAAAGACAGTGCGACTGGCACAGGACAGAGCACAGTTTAGGGCTGTTGTACATAGGGTCGCTATGAGTCGCAAGCGACTCAACAACACATAACAACAACAACAACAGTGGTGGGCAAGGTAAAATAGTGTTTAACTTTAAAAAAACAATACACAGGAATGATTGTATGAAACACAATGTGAATGAAGAATAATGTGAAACACAGTGCATATGAAGTTTGTAAGCAAATAAAGTTTTTTTAAAAAATACCTGAGGTACGACTCCTACTGCCTTCCGAAGGCTTTCCAAACTCACATCTTGTATATTTTGACCGCCAAGGTAAATGGTACCCTTTTGAGGATCATAGAAGCGAAATAACAGTCTCACTATTGTGCTTTTCCTAAAATTAGAGATGAGAAAAGATTACTTAATTTCTACTGGCATTAAGGAAACCTTGCTTAAAAATACCATAATCATTGATTATAATAGGTACAAAATATTACCTTGGAGATCACCTGAATGATGTAGAATTTTATGAATAACTAAATTACCTACCCTGACCCACTCCCTCCTACAATAGCCACTTTCTTTCCTGCAGGGACTTCAAAAGATATTCCACTGAGAACTTTCTGCCCTTCAACGTATTCAAAATGCACATTATCAAAAGCCACAGTAGCTGTTTGTGATGTGATCTGAAGAGGAGGTGCCATCACTTTGTCCTAACAGGGAAGAACAAAAATCACATTACACATCCTATAGATTCTAAGTCTATACAGACATGTTTCTAATTAAAAACATAAAAAAAGAAAAAAATGGTAAAAGAGCAGTTTTATAAGTCGTGTTAGACCACTTCCAAACACACTTTATTTCACCCTTTAGGCAAAGATCAACAACTCCAAAAGGGTTGATTTTTGAGGACTTTTCCTTTTTTCTTTAAATATTAAATTTTATTAGTTTTAATGAACATTTACAGAGATTTTCGGTATTCTTTCATTCATTGTTGCATGAGGACATTTTCTTGACTGTACGGAAGGAGGAGGGAAGATGATGTTAAGAAACACAATTCCAAATTTTGTAGCATTAAGTATTTGTAAAAGTAACTCAAATTAACAAAATTTAATTTCTAGGTGTAATATTTTTTAGCTAACTTTGTATGGTTTATAAACATAAAAGCTATAAAAATCTATTAGTACATTATAAGTGCAATTTCTGCAAGAAAGAAACAGGTTTACAAAACATGGTGATGTATGAATATTGTCTAGAATAATCTTATTAATATGATGATATTTAACTACTTTTAAAAAGGTACTATAAAGGTTACTTACTTTAATTCGGGTATCTATCTTGAGTAGAGTAAACAAGGTGTTCATATCTATGAGTGCTTGTCTAGTCTCTCTATATACAGTTCCCAGAAAGTTAAGGGGTAGTGATAGCTGAAAAAGTAGTCCATTCACCATTACTAGATCTCCAACAGTAAGGGTACCTTAAATTAAAAATAGTTGGCAGAAGAATAGAGTACATTAGATGAAATTACAGAAATTTTTTCATTTTAAGATGTAGAACTTTGATGCTTATTACTCTAGAATACAGCCCAAAGGACAAAGAATTAGAAATTGTTCTCTTTCATTGCTGACAAATTGGAAATGAAATCAAAGCTTACACTCCAGTGGGTTTTCAAGGCTTTAAATTGTAAGGGAGGAGAAGACTGACAACGTTCTCCAAAGGACTGGCTGTTGGAGTTTAACCTCCATTGAGACAGAAGCACAACTTGGTGCAAACTATGCCACTCTAAGTCCCTACAACCTGATACTGTTTTGATGTGCTATCAAGTTAGAATCAACTTAAAGCTGACCTTCCCACAGCGTTTCAGAAAGTACGAACAGCTAAGGAGGAAAATGCCCATCTTTCTCCCATGGAGCAGCAGGTGGATATGGAATGCCTATCTACGCACTGGCAATTCAATTGCCTATCCACCAATCCATCAAAACTCCTCGTCCCTGAGGTTGCTGTTATGAGTCAGAATCAACAGTTAGCTAAGCCACCTCCATCAGGTTTTCAGAGGCAGTATATTCTATGGGAGGAGACTGTCCATTTTCTCACAAAAAGCAGTTGATGGAATCAAACCTAATTTATGAGAGCTCCCTAGACTTGGATGTTGTTGTTGTTTTTGTTAAGTGCCATCAAGACTGATAGTGACTCTATGAACAAAAGATCTAAATCCTGTTCTATCCTGTGCCATCCTCACACTTCCTGACACACAAGAGCCCATTGCAGCACTCATTGTTTCAATTCACCTGGTTGAGGGTCTTCCACTCCTTTGCTGGCCCTCCACCCTTCCCAGCATCATGTCCTTCTCCAAGAAATAACCTCTCCTAGCAACATGCCCAAAGTGATAGGTCTCCTTAAGTTCCAATGGATTTAATCTCTGATATAGGCAACACAGGGACTATGTTTATGCTAAATGGATTGGAAAAATCCTATGTATGAAAAAGTAAATGTGTGTGTGTGTGTGTGTGTGTGTGTGTGTAGACATACAGATATATAAAACACTGGCTTAAGGAGAAATAGAAATTTAACATTCTCTCACTTTTTCATTTAATCGTGCTAATGCGAAACCTATACTTGGACCAAGAGGCAGTCGTCAGAACTGAGCAGGGTAACACTAGGCATGGTTCAAAATTGGGAAGGGTGTATGCCAGGGATGTGTCCTATCTCCATACCTTTTCAACCTGTATGCAGAGCAGATTATCCGAGAGGCTGGGCT